GAAGCAACCAAATTGAAGATTTACAGATCCAGATTCAAGATTCATTAATCAAGTCAGAAATCAATTGATTAAGGTATGTTCCGCGTTAATTCAATTTCTTGATGATTTGACATGAAGATCTTGACAAGATCATAAAGTTTAAGTTTTAATAAAGTTCTAACATATTTTGCGAAAATGGTATAATTTTTGGATAATGTCTGATCAAAAGTAGGAAAAAGTCATCTGTCCAAGTGCAAAATTATTTTATTGGGATAGTGTGTGGTTAATGAATTTGAAGAAAATTGAGTTTTAAAGAAATTCAACTCCAGGCTCGAGTTCAGATTCTTTAGATGAATTTCTCCCATGTTCGTATATGTTTCTTGCAATCGAAAAGCTTCTTATTATGATTTTTCTCATGTTCTCCATTTCTTGATTAAGATTTAGAGATTTTGTCACTTTTGTCAACCCATTCAGCTTCTTCCCATAGGCAATGACTGCCTCAGCAAACTCCTACAACAATTTCGTGACATTAAGAATATGTTGAATAGCCAATATTGGACATGATCAGATAATACTATCGACTATTTTCTAATTGATCTCCTTATATGCAAACGGGCAACCGGGTAGTCAAATTCATTGGAATCCGCTTTCGTTATCCTCTCGGGAGGAAATTGAAGTCCCATGATGAATTTTCCCTCTTCGGGATTATAAGCATCTAGATCGTAAAACCTTCAATCAAACCATCTGGTGTTAATGCCATAGACACAAATCTTTGTGCCAATCTCTTAACCTCTTGACGATGATAACTATTCACCAAAATCTTCATTTTCTCATCCTCCAAAGAATCCTTAAACCATTGATGCAAAGGGGTGTTCTCAATTAACGTAACCAAATGCCGATGCCCATCGTAATTATCGTAATCCATATGCACAACTCTTTCATTTAAGGGCAACTTATTTGTGAGTTCTTTACCAAGATCTTGATAAAGGGTACCCCCACAAGCCACATTGAGGACTTGTGACCCCTCTGCATATACCTAAATAGGGTATGTTCCTCTCTAGACAAAGTTTTGCTAGTATCATTTCAATTGTGTCCTTTTGCTGTGTCACTTGCTAATTTCTTCCAATTCTTCTGCTGATACATTCGACTTCTCGGCTTTGTATAGAGATGGATCTATATCTTCGCCTCCACAAGAGGGACACCGTGAGTCGGCTCGAAACTGTCTAACAACATGTGGACCCCGGTCGTTCGCGGTACAATTACCGGTACTGCCCCATAACTTACTATAAGATCAAGATGATATTCTCTTGTGCAATTCCAATATACATTAGTTCAAAGATTGTACAAACTATCATTGACTAAATTTAAATTAGTAAATTTATCGAGTACCGGTACTGCCCCATATCTTACTCTAAGATCAAGATGATATTCTTGTGTGCAATTCCATTATACATCAGTTCATAGATTGTACAAACTATCGTCGACTTAATTTAAATTAGTAAATTTATCCTTTTCTAACGACTTAAAGTTTGAAGATTTCAATATGGAATAGGAGCTTGCGACAATCTATGTATGGAAATATACACAGTTAAATTACTTCTTGACCGTACATTCTCCAAAAAAATTACTTTTAACAAATTATATTCTAAAATGATCTACGTCAAACATGCCCTTAATCTAACCCTCTTCTTCATGTCAATGTTCGGGTAGAGTTTGATATATATAACAAGAGAAATGATATCTTATATCATTAATATTTAGGCCATGTGTGGGCACCATTTTTGGAAGACAGAAATTCATTTTTGGACCATTGTAGCCTGATATTTTTGACCCACTCTTTCACGTGTGGGACTTGCTGACCTTGGGGGCAACGGATATATTTTTGCTGACCCAGACAGGTGGTTAATATAAGATGAGCAACTATGTTAATTTCTATATGTATATATTTAACAGTTCAAAAATTATTTCACAAATTCACTTAAATAGATAGGTAACTACACGTACATTCATGTACTTACAGTATGGATATGAATTGTAATGGAAATTATGTGTTAAATTATGGCCATCACATAGGCAAGAAGTTGATCAAGAGATTAGGTGATGAGAATTAGTTAAGAATAATAGACTTTGATCAACCAAGAATCGATCAATGATGATTGATTGGGATGAGTCAATACTTGGTTTGGTGGTGATTAAAAATTAAGTTTTTAGTAAATTTTGATAAAAGTCGATGAAATGTATGATTGAAAAATTGATAAAAATCGTGGATACCATAAAATGTCTGATTGAAAATTAATTTTAAAAATTGGGGCCAAACGGGTACTTGGCTCAAAATGAGTAAAGAACTTTTGTTTTATTGGAAAAAAGTTATTGTTAGATTCCTATTGTTTTTCAACTCTATCTATTATTATTTCTCAAAAAACATTGAGGGGAACCCAAGTGTTATAAGTGGTAAAGTTAAAGGACCGAAAGTGAAAGTTTCCCTAAACCCTAACCCCAAATTCCCAGCTTCTTCAAGCTCTAGTTACATCTCTCTGGCTCTACCGAATTCCCGGCGCGCAGCCTCTTCTATTCTGTAATAAAATGGACGAGATGATTGTCTCAGCGAAAAAAGAGGTTTTTTTGTTTCTTCTTTTTATGCTTTATTTTATTTTTCGGCATCCACTGATGCTTCCTATACAAAATATATACTACTTTGAATCTCTAAGATTAATTTTGGTCTTCGCTGTGTTTGATTGGAGTAGACCATAGTTTTATAATTATACTAGTTTGTGTTCAAAATCGCATATTTCGGTAAAATCAGCTCATATTTTGCTATTGAAAAAGTTAAAATGAGTTTAAGAATATGGGTAGTGAATTTGGCATCATAAAAATTTGATTTTTCAAAAATGTTTTGTGTGGTAGATTACGAGTCATTGACAACTGTATTAACTATCATACTTTCTAATCAGACGCTGATGTTTACATGGTTTATTTTTTCTATTAATGTGATTAGGTGCTTATTGAAATGGTGAAATTGGCACAAAAGCGAGGAATGTTGGGTAGTAAAGGAGGCTGGAAAGATTTTCTAAAATTTTATGACAAGAAGTTTGGCACAAGCTTGAGTGACCCTGCTCGACGGTCCGTTGAGTCATTGGTGGCATTTTTGAAAACTTTTAGCCAAGAGAATGATTTGAAGGTAAACTCTAGCATCAACTATCTTTCCCCATCCTAGTTCCTCCTAACTGGAAAAAAAAGCATTGATAAGTAAATAGATGCTTCTGGTATGATGAACCCTCATGTATTGTTTGCAGTTTTTCAATAAAGTGTTGCAATGTCACTTGAACCGTGAGGCTGCGGAGAAATTTAAAATGACGTCGCCAGATAACGAAACACCTGAACAGGTTTTGGTTGGATAATTCTCACACTTTTTATTTTGTAATAGTTGAAAGGTTGCTACTATTGAAAACATTTTGTATTGATCTTTATTTGTGAGGTATGCTGCTACTAGCTTGTGTTAATGTCCATTGACATTTACCATTTCTTGCTTTTCGCCATACCGTCGGTGGTTCTTACTGAATTGTTTTTGTGGCATTGCAGAAGCTGGTCAGTTTGACTTTAAGGCATCCTCAGTACCCAATTGATTACTCTTTACCATCATATGATGAGGTTTGTTCTTGAAATTTGTAGCATTTCTCCCCCTTTTTTTGTCGTCGTCGTGGTCGTCGTCGTCTTCATATTCAGGACCTAAATAGGTTCCTCCATGTGCCATTGCTTGGATTGTTGCCTTTATTATAAAAAAGTTCAAATAAATATTATCTCTGGTTGACTAAAGCTACAACTTGGCATTTCATGGATTGCTGGGCTCTAATTGTGAGTTGCATTGTGAAACGAATTTATGAACAATTGTAAGGTTTTTATTTTTATTCATATGAATAAGAGAACTGAAAAAGTATTTTTACAGCCTTGCGTATTGGGTGGTACGTTGTTTTAATTTTGCCATTGGCCTAGTTGGTGATTGTGACGATTTTCCATTGAACTGTAAATATACATTCATTCATTTGGCTTGCCCTCTCATTAACTTTTTTGACTGCTTGAGCAGGATTGGTTGGTCGTTAAGTGCAGTAAAAAGTCCATGGCCATGAAGTCAACAATAATGGTTGCCATTGATTGTGAGATGGTTCTCTGTGAAGATGGCACCGAAGCTTTAGTGAGGGTATGCGCTGTAGACCGCAATTTACAGGTATTATGCTAACACACTTTGTGCCAAAAATATGTATCAACCCTCAGCCCTTTCGCTTTTGTAGACTATTTCTGCACTTCTGATCATCTGCGGTATCACACGTGCAGTGTCATCTAATGTTTTGTAAATACCTTAAAAACATTTCCTCTTCCAGGTTAAACTTGATGCATTTGTGAACCCCAATAAAGCAATTGCAGATTATCGAACCGAGATAACTGGAATCTCTGCAAAAGATTTAGATGGAGTAACTTGTTCAATGGCAGATGTACAGGTATTTTGTTGGATATTCAAGTTATCTCTCTTTCTCTCTCTCTCTCTCTCTCTCAACTCTTCTATGGACGTTGCAGAAATCAATGAAGAAGTTGTTATCACATGGAACAATTTTAGTTGGCCACAGTCTGAGCAATGATCTTCAAGGTTACTTCTGTAACTTGACATTTATTTCTTCTGTATATTAGTTAGCATGTAAGCCACTTTTGATTAATGATTTTCATTTACTCTTTTGGTTGAGTTGCTCTTGAAAAGTATTACGATGATAAATTTTTTTCCTAAGTTGTTTCTGTTTCTTATTTTCTTCTTCTTCTTCTTATTTTTTTAATTCTAATAGTTGTTTTTCTGTTTCTTTTTGCAGCACTGAAGATAGATTACACTAGAGTAATCGACACATCTTACGTCTTCAAATATTCGAATAGACCTGCTAACAAAAAGCCTTCATTGAGTTCGTTGTGCAAGGTATGATTTTGACAAAAAGCCTTCTCTGAATTTGTTGTGTACTACGAGATTTTTCTCATGTGTTCCGTTTAGAAAAATTAATTTTCTTCCCCATTGATTTGTCAAATGAATTTGTAATCTCTCATTCTCTCTCTGTCTAAACGATAAATCTCTATTGCCCTCTTTACATATCTTTGTAAGTGATGCACTGCCATCACGAGCTGGTAGCAGTCATGGCTTGTTTGCTAATACCTTGTGTGGTTTGGTAGGCTGTGTTAGGTTATGAGCTTCGGAAAGAGGGGAGTCCACATAACTGTCTAGACGATGCCTGTGCTGCAATGAAACTTGTTCTAGCTAGATTTGAGCATGCAGCTGATGGTGTTATTCCCGAGGAGGTAACCTATAATAATCACTGTTATTTTTGCACTACAAACAGAGTTGATATATATATATATTAATAGCATCTTTGATTTAGGTGAAAGATGTAGATACAGCCAAACTGCTGCTTCACAGGATTCCGATTAATATTTCTGCCAAGGATTTAAAGATTATTATTCCGGGAAACTTTGAGATTGAAGTGAAGGTTATTTCATAAATTCCTTAACTAAAAACTCAATTGATGCTACACATTTGCTCTATGAATGCAAAATATTGTTGACCATTATAGTTTTTAGTGTGCTAGATAACAAAACATGCAAGGATGCACGACTGTCTTGATTTCTTTGATTCTGGAATTGGATCTTTCCGCCTAACACTTCTCACTTCCTTGTCCATCCAAATAGAAGCCAATAAGTTTTTAGCTTTTCAACTCATTACGGCTAGTAGGGATATTTTTCTCTTACAAGTAACTACCTTTTCTTATCCGGGTGCATTCTTTGACTAGACAAGCTGTGTTTCAGATTTAAGATGTAGTAAACTGCTGAGTAATTATCGAGTATGTGGCTTCATTAAATTAGAGAATACCCAATGAATGTGGTTTTTGAGCAGTTAAATGCTCCTTTGACTGGTAAATGGTAATTTTCCATTTTGCCCTGCTTTACTCGTTGTTGTCCTTTGCTTATTCCCATCGTGTTTTCCACTGCTTCAAATAATTTGATGGCAATCCAAGGGATGTCACATAATATGTATAAAATGTATATATGCTTTCTTGTATGCATATAGACATAAAAGTATTCTCAGTGCAAAGCAAAAATCTAAAGGAACTGACAATTTAGAAAGAAAAGAAACCAAGAAAAGTGGTAGCCAGTTCTCCTTGCTACCTCTAATCAGGATGAATTGAAAGGCGAAATTCCCATTTTTACACTATTATTTTTTCCTGTTGTGATATATGGCTTGAGATTGAACCAACAGTTGTCTTGATCCCAACACATATGGAACAGCTGATAATTAAGCATTTAAGACATGACCACGCTAAGCTGCCTACTTACTTTTCTTTTTACACAAGTTTACGCAAAATTACGAGAATCACCTAGTGACTTTTCCTGGATGATTTCAAGACATACTATATCTATGGAAGTAGCTACTCTTGCTTGCAATCTTGTTCCTGTTTCAGATTTTACCATGATATTTATTAGTTGGTGGGTGGTAAATTGTGAACGAGCACTTGATATAACAATTCAGAAATCCAATTATTGCTTTATCCTCAGGCTGCTTTGGAAGGAGTTGACATGATACACAAAAAAAAAACTTAGCCTTAATGCCTCAGTACTTGACGACTTTTAAATAGTATGTGTGCCTGATTCTCTCCTTGTTCATCGAATTGAAGAAGTTCAAAGTTCTTAGAAGCATAATGCTGTGTCGAAAGCTGACTTTTGATTATGATAGTGAGTCAAGCTGTTCTATTATCTTAATGTACATTAAAATTTAATTTAATTTTCTTTCCTTTTTTATGCCGTGTGTTTCTGTTTAGAATATGTTATTTTTCATGCCTGAGCTCCTTGTCACTCAATGCTTGTTTCTGTTATTTTCTGCAGACAGGCAAAAAAGTTCGAGATATATATTCTGCATTTGCGATTTTTGAAAATCAGCAAGAAGCCAGTGAAACATTTGATAATCTTCAAGGTGACCTAGAGAAGGTGTGTAATTTTCTCTGTTCTTTGTACTCTGTTCTGTATAAAGTTGGCCTGTGCACGCCATGTTCCCTTCCCCTCCAGAAACAACCATTAAGTTTGTCCCATCCCCAATGCTATTCTTACTCTAATTTAATTAAGACATTTAGGGGCAACTATTTCTCTTATTGGCATGGCTATTATATATATTGATCTACTTTTTACTAGGACTCCTCTGGACGACCGCAGAAACGATTCACCTTTGAGCTCAGTACAGGGATGCCGGCTAGTTTTTATGTTTGTAAGATGGCCCATGATGATTCTGTTGGTCAAAATACTGCAACGAATAAGAGGTCCTTTGAAGATGAGAACAACTTGAGCACACGGAAGAAGTCAAGGAAAGATCAGATTTGTGAACAGCCTGAGGAGCTGGATTCAAGCTCAAATCAGTCGGAAGAGATTGGAAGATTGAAGCAAGAGCTAAGACAAAGAGATGAGGAAATATCAAACTTGAACAAAATAATAGTCGCACTTGCTAGGAAACAAGGATTACTCTGAACATACTCGGGAGCACAAGCACAACCTTCTTGCTAAGCCAGATTCGATGCTTTTCAAAAGCGCAGGAGAGCTGGCTATTAAGAACATCTGGCGCTTGCTTTTTGGAGCTTTGGTACCACAACAAGAAATGGAGAATTGAACCGATACATTGTGGAATAGCTGGAGATGGTGGAAATGCATTCTGACAGTATTTATTTGGATCATCATTTCTGTTGTAGACTTCTTGTCGATACTATATGCTAATGCATAATCTCATTAGTTTGTGACAATATTGGTGCATCTTGTTCTCTTTTGAAGTTATTACAGCATCTAATGTTCTATTTTTCAATAATTTGCCTCTTCTCCTAGTTTAGTGCTGCATTTTTGTGACTGAGGCGATGATACATAGCTCGAGCAACATGAAATAGGGAAATCTGAGCCTTTCGATACCATCAAATAGAAAATTTGAGGAGTTTAAACTATGTGGGTTAAGAGCTGCTTCTCCTTTCCCATTTTGAAGTGGGAAAAACCCAGCAATTTTATCAAATTTATTTAAACTCAGTATTCAATTCATACTTTTTTCTTAGTATCTATCCTGTTGCAAATTTCATCCATCAGAAGTTGATAAGGTATGTAAGATTCTTTAAGACTTAAAGTCCAAAACCTTGTACGTTTGTTTATATTTTCATATTTATTCGATGTATGATTTATACATTAATGTCTTGTAAGATAGTGGCTCGTTTGAGAATATCAAACTTGGAATTCGAAGCTCATTTTTGAGTTCTAATCAAATCGAATAGCTCGTTGGAGTTTACATGACTCTAATACTATATTAAGATTTGTTATTCTATCTTAAAATGTCAACTTTTTTTAAGAGAAGTAATTCAAAAACTTGTGTGTTGATTTATATTTTCGTATGTATTTGACGTGCAATTTATTTCTCGACAAGATTAATTAATTCACCAAGTATTAATTTTCAATGATTTTTTTGTACAAATTCATAAAATATTTGCATTTACGATCTATTATATAATTATCTTCGCAGATTGAGACAAATATTTATAAAAAATAAAATATCTTGACTATTCACCTAATTTGATACGCGCTCACTTGGATTTGTCCTATTGTTGTTAAAATAAATAAAAACTGTCAGTAATGTAGTTTTTTTTTTTAATTAATTGACTGAACAATTTAAATTAAAACCATTGAGAAACAAAAAATTGCTCGTATTATTTCTTGTGTGCAGCATTTGTAAACTTGTAAGTTTATGGGAAATTAGTTTATACAAAATCGATGATTTTTTGATTGTCAAGAGAGACTAGCAAAATGCTCAGTTCTGTTCTAATCACTTCGATTTTAGCCAAACCTGCCACCTCATGTGTCAAAGTCGAAAGGTTGTTCTTCCTTACCCACTCTCTTTTTCTAATTAGAAAAGTAAATGCTTGAGTTTGAGAAACTTCTGGTCTAGTAGGTCTACAAAACTCGCAACACTAGATTTTGAAATAGAAGGTTGAATGGAGGGAAGGGGCTGGACGAAAGTTATGGTTCGATAACCTCAGCTCAAGGTAGGCGACAAAGAGAAGAAAGGTATATCAACGTGCATCTATTACTATATTTACAAGATACCATAGTCTTCGTTCGAAAACGATGACAAATAAAAATATAGTTGATTGGAAACGTCGAGTGCCAAAGTCAGTAGACGATAATTGCTAATATTTCACTTTCTTATGAGTCTTATTTTCAGGACCACAACAATTGTGACTGGATTCTAATGACAAAAGAAAAATGTCAGATTTTATAGCAAATGATTTTAGACAACTAACTTATTTTAAGTACTAAACACCAATGTCTGAATCAAGAGCAATTTCATCACACACAGAAATGGATGCAGAGAAATTCAAAGAGCCTTTTTCTACATACCATATGCTTGGAGGTGATGATACTCATAGTTATGCTCAAAATTCGGAATACCAGGTAATCTTTCGTTGCAAAACTTGCCCGGTTACTCGTATAATTTTTCGATTCTTGCACTGCAAGTTAAAGAAATAAATTCATGTTAATCATACGAAATTATGACATGTTTGGTAGTGACAACTGGATAACTTTAGGCGGGTTTAAGTTGTCCGTTAAAATGTTTAGTCAGTTCTAGACATCCAGTATTACGTATCAGATATGTACTTAGAAAATTAGATTTTACGCATTTTTAATACTGATCCATCATGGGGATTTTTGTTTTGCAGAAACAGTTAGTTGTATCGGCAGAGGAATTGATATGTAAACTCATAGACAAGCATCTTGACATCGAAAAACCTTCCTTTGATCCGAATAAGACATTCCGAATTGCAGATTTCGGGTGTTCAATTGGTCCCAACACGTTTTTCGCCATAGAAAACATCATTAAAGGTGTCGAAAACAAATATAAATCCAACATAAAAAATCCTCGGATCCCAGAATACCACGTGTTCTTCAACGACCATATTGACAATGATTTCAATACTCTCTTCCGAAACATTCCGACCTCAAGGAAGTATTTCCTGGCAGGAGTACCCGGTTCATTCCATGGTCGCCTTTTTCCTAATACGACGCTACATTTTGCACACTGCTCCACAGCACTCCACTGGCTGTCAAGAATTCCAAAAGAGGTTACTGAAGTGAATTCGACTGCATTTAATAAAGGAAGAATTCACTACGGTGGAGCTGCGAAAGAAGTTAAAGACGCATATTCGACTCAATATAGGAAGGATATGGACAGTTTTTTGACTGCTAGAGCACAAGAGCTTGTACGAGGAGGGCTAATGGTACTTGTAATACTTGGTTTTCCTGATGGAGTGCCTCCTTCAGAGTCTAGTATAGGAATTGGATTCAACATTCTCGGATCCTGCCTCGAAGACATGGCCCGAATGGTAAGGACGTTATCGAACCCTTTTCACGATAAACTTTGGGTCGATTAATATGAATCTTTTGCCATCTCCTCGTGAGGCACGTGTGGTGCAAAATATTAGACATGAATAAGTAGTACCGTCGAATACTGTCTAATCTACCTTACTGAATATGTCATTATATGAAAAAATTCTCGATTATTTAGTTGGTGTTTTAATTTTATGGCACTAAACTGAGAATTCCATTACAGGGAAAAATTACAGAAGAACAGGTGGATTCATTTAACTTGCCATTTTACTATCCATCTCCATCAGAGTTGAAGGCATTGATAGAGGAAAATGGCTCTTTTACTCTTGAAAGAATTGAAAGCTTGATATCACCTATGAAAATTGAAAAACCAAACCTTAATATTATCATTAAGGTTTGTGTTTCTCACTTAAGAGCTGTTATTGGAGGAGTTATTGAGGAACATTTTGGGAATGAAATAGTGGAGGAATTGTTCCAACTTCATATGAAGAAACTTGACGAGAATCCCATGATGTTTGATGAGAAATATAGGAAAGAGGCTAATTATTTTTTGTTCCTAAAGCAAAAAAGTCACTTATAATTAAGAGGAAGAAGGATTTCTCAAGGGTGGACTATGTCTCTATGCCAGCCTGTTTATTGAAATATTGTTATGAAGGGTGTGTTTTGTGAATATGTTACATGTGAAAAACTACGTCTACACTGTTATGATCTTTGCTCTCGGCCGCTTGTTTAATAAGTTGGAATGTACAATTTTCGAAGTGTTTTACGAATGGTATATGATCTTTCCGTCCTTTTCACAGGCGGAAAAGATGTCAAAAGATACATTTTTTTTTTCACGAACCCAAAACTATTGTGTAAGTTAAAATCTTATAGTTGTCACCTTTCATCAATCTTTTTCAAATTAATTTGAATCAAATTTCAACGATTTTGGTCAGAAATATAAAAATTAAGGACCACATAAATTAAAGAGAATTTGGTTAAAAAGCCTAATCAACCATATTTTTTGTGTAAAAGGTTTTCATTCTATAATTTACTTCATTATATGTTAAAATTCTTAATTACCCTTTACTTGAATTGTCCAAAATGACACACTGAAATCTAACTTTCAAAATCCTAAATTCCCATTTTTATTTCAACTTTTTAAAAAACCACTATCAACCCTTAATTTTTTTTTTTTTCATCTTCTTTCTTAGGATTATATCCAAAAATTAATTGCATTAATCAATTATATTTTTCAACAAAACAACAACAACAACAACAAAGGCCGCATATTGTTCTTGTTGAGACTGGAACCCCTGATCTATGGTGTGCTCCCAATATTGGCTCAAAGTCGCGTTTCTACTGAACCCGTTTTTCTTAATGGTGCACTTATTATGAGGTGGTGACACGTGGTTTATTTGTGGCCCTTAGATTGTTGCTTTGATGATATGAGATATATGTACTTGTACAGTGGAAGATATTTTCACTTGGTTCTGCCTTTTGAGTTCTTCGTCTTTTGGGTTCTTCTGAGAGATCCCCTTTTCTATGAGATTAGGATTTGGTCCTTCATGTTCTTCATCTCCCATGATGAACTTGTAGAATGAGATCATATTAGTTGTTAGCCTCTGTAATATGTTATCTGAGTGATTGCTGCGAGAATAAGGGTTTTCTTGTAATCGTGATTTCAGTCGGCTGTTGTGGGGTTATTTTTGTGATTCTTTTTAGATCTGTAGTTCAGTGTGAAAGAGATACGTGTTCTATGCTTTTCTCTTGTGTTTGGAATAACTATTTTTAATTTGTTGTCATTTTGGGCTTATTAGTGCAACCGAGCGAATATCCATTATATGGATACTCAAACAGGGGATGTAGGCGTTAGATTTGGTCGTCGAACCTCCAGGGTTTAGGTCGAAACAATTTTTTGTGTTCAATCTTTACTTTTCTGCAAAGTTTACTTTATGATCTGTTGATATTGTTGGAATGTTGTTTGATATCGTGTATTTTGGGTCTTTTTAGTGATATCAGAGTCTGAACTGAGAACAAGATACCTAGATCTTTGCAGAAAGAGTTCGATCTGTTGCAGATCACAAATTTTTGGAACTGCTGTTAAGCAAGTATTAAAGATATTGAGTTTCTTGAAACTCGCCGGGTGAGATTTTTTTAATTTTTGAAAAGTTTCTTTTTCCAATTAGGGTTTCTCGATTTTTCTCTTGATCTACTATACACAAAACCCGTGGAGAGTAATCTTTGTCCAAAGACTCATACGAGGTCTTGGGAATCTGAGATAAATTCAGTATGGGGTTGTATCTGGAGGATCTTACATGAAAGGTCTATGAAATATAGACTTTGTTATCTCTGTTGTTGTGTCTTTTAATTGTGGTTGCTCTGCATGATCCTTGATTTTGATTCAAACTTTGAAATCTTATATTACTAAGTGTAATACTGTGATTTTAAGCAGCTGTAATTGTTGTGAGTCTCTGACCATGCTTTACTAATATCTTGAACTCCTATTTGTGAATCATCCTTTGACTCAAATATGACTTCTGCTAAGTTTGAAGTTCCACAATTTGATGGTAGATGTGATTTTAACATTTGGTGTCAAAAGATGAAGGCAATTTTAATGCAAATGAGAGTTGCTATGGCTCTTGATAATAGTTGGCCTTTAGACTTACCTTCTGCTAAAAGAACTGAATTTGAAGAGGTTGCATGGAGTACTATTTTCTTATACTTTTCTGAAAATGTTTTGAGAGAAATTGGTGAAACCAAGACTGCTTCTGAACTGTGCGCTAATTGGGTTAGTCCTTGTTAATAATGAAAATAAGCTACGTGAAGAGTGGATACTTGATTCAGGTTGTTCTTTTCATGTGTGTCTCAATAAAAATTGTTTTCTTGATTTTGAAACAACAACTTGGTGGGCAAGTTACAATGGGGAACAACATGACTTGTAAAGTTAAAGGATATGAACGGTTAAACTGCTTCTAGAAAATGGCAATGTACTATTTCTGAATTAGAGAGAAACCTGGTGTCTCTGGCATGTTGGATGACATTGAGTTTGACATAAAATTGGGTCAATGACATATTAAATTTCTTAAGGGCACTGATTTGGTCATTAGTACTCCTAAGAGACATGTTCTCTATTTTTTGAATGCTAAACATTTACTTAGCTTAACTGCTGCGGTTTTACCTGACACTTTTACTTTTGCAAAATTATGGCATGAATAACTTGGTCACATTGACAAGAAAAGTTTGAAATCTTTACAAAATAAATGAGTTTTTGAAAAACAAAACCTTTGTGATTTTGGTTCTTATGAACAGTGTGTTATTGGCAAACAAGTTAAGTTACTTTTCTTATCTGGAATTCATAAAGATTCTGCTCCTCTGGCTCTTGATGAATATCAACTCATAAGAGATAGAGAAATGAGACAGATTAGACCTCATGCAAGGTTTGATAATGATGATTTTGTTTCATTATTTACTTATCAAGATCAATTTGAGAATGAACCTAACTCCTATGATGATGCCATAAATTGTAAATACTCTATACTTTGGAAAGCTGCTTTGGATGATGAAATGAATTCACTTCTTAAAAATAAGACCTGGGAATTGGTTAAAAGACCAAAAGATCAAAAACTAATTGATTGCAAGTGGATCTATAAGATAAAGGAAGGTGAATGGGGATTAAAAATGATAGATATAAAGCTAGACTGGTAGCTAAAGGGTTCACACAAAAAGAAGGTCTTGACTATACTGAAATTTTTTCCCTATTGTTAAATATACCACCATAAGATGTATTCTTGCTCGTGTTCAATTTAGATGGGAACTTGATCAATTAGATGTCAAAACTGCTTTTCTCTATGGTGATTTAGATCAAAAGATATACATGAGACATCCTGACGGTTTTGTTAATGGTAATCCAGAAAATGTTGTTTACTTATTAAAGNGATATTTGCCTCTACTATAAAGTAAAGGAGGCAAAAGTTATTTGTACTTAGTTCTTTATGTTGATGATATGTTACTTGTAAACTGTAATAAATCTAAAATTGATCATATCAAATAGAAGTTGAAATCTGAATTTGATATGAAAGATCTTGGTTCAGCCAAGAAGATCCTTGGTATGCAGATTTTAAGAAATAGAGATAAGGACATGTTATTTTTGCATCAACATGATTATATGGTAAAACTTCTGAAAAGATTTAACATATTTTACTGTAAACCTATTACCTTACCTCTTTCAAATCATTTTAAACTTTCATCTGATTGTTGTCCTAAAATTGATGAAGAGTTTGCTAGAATGTCTAAAATTCCATATGCAAATGTTATTGGATCTGTTATATATCTAATGGTTAGTACAAGCTCATAGTATTAGTATACTTAGTAGATTTATGATTAATCTAGGTGAAGAACACTGAAATGCTTTAAAATGGCTTTTAAGATACTTAAAATATACTTTAAACTTAGGTCTTGTATTTAAAATGGACAAAAGAGGAATTATGTTAAAGGGGTTCACCGATTCTGATTTCGTTGGGGGATAGAGATAATAGAAAATCTACTTTTGCCTATTTCTTTACACTCTGTGATATTGCTATAAGCTGGAAATCTCAATTACAAAAAGTAGTAGCTCTATCCTCAACTGAAGCAGAATATATTGCTGCTTACGATACTGTTAAAGAAGGGATTTGGCTAAGTAAATTATTAAATGAACTTGGTTTTGTTGATGAAAATGTAATTTTGTATTCTGATAACCAAAGTGCCATACATTTAAGTAAAAATCTCATGTTTCATGATAGGACTAAGCATATAGACATAAAATTTCATTTCATCAGATATATTATATCAAAAAGAATTATGAAAATTGGTAAAATTTCTACCCAGATCAATCCCTCATATATGAGAACTAAGATAATACTTTTAAATAAGTTTCTTAACTGTTTGAAGTTGTTATTTATTGATACTATGTGATGATATTATGCAGGTACTTGGAGTTAATGAAAAATAATTGGTGATGTTTGCTCTTGACTGCACTTATTAACCCAATTTTGGTAGTACAGTGGAGATTGTTGAGGTTCGATTCGAACCCTTAATCTATGATGTGCTCCCAAAATTGGCTCAAAGTCGTGATTCTACTGAACCTGTTTTTCTTAATGGTGCATTTATTATGAGATGGTGACACGTGATTTATTTTTGGCTTTGAGAGTTTCCCTTTTTTGTGAGATTAAGGTTTGGTCCTTCGTGTTCTTCATCTCTCATAATGAACTTGTAAATTGAGATCATATTAGTTGTTAGCCTCTGTAATCTGTTATCTAAGCGATTGTCGTGAGAATAAGAGTTTTTTTGTAATCGCGATTTCAATCGAATGTTGTGGGGTTTCTTTTATGATTCCCTTTAGATCTAGAGTTCAGTGTGAAAGAGATAAGTGTTCTGCATTTTTCTCGTGTTTGGAAAAACTATTTGTAACTTGTTGCCATTTTGGGCTTATTAGTGCAATCGAGTGAATATCTATTATTTGGATGCTCCATGGGGATGTAAGCGCTAGATTTGGCCGTCGAACCTCCCGAGTTTAAGTCGAAACAATTCTTTGTGTTTAATCTTTACTTTTCTGCAAAGTTTACTTTCTGATCTGTTGATATTGTAGGAATCTTGTTTAATATCGTGTGTTTTGGGCCTTTTTAGTTCTCCATAAACAAAACATAAAAAATAAAAAATTGAAGTCAGTCTTGAAGATATTATTATATTTTTTTTGAATTTTTCGATTTTTCATCATTTTCAGTTTTATTCTACCTCTTAACTCTGAAAAATTAATCGAGCGAGTAAAATAAGCATCGTAATATAACTGGGTGGATTTTAATGTATTGGAGTTCTATTTCATAATTCTACCTACAAATGAAGAGGTGTCGCATTCAGAACGTCGAATGGGGACTCTTCATTATTTTTTTTGTTAAATTGCATATATTTTTGAAAGACCAATGTGAGAATGATTTTCTGTAATTCAAATTCATTTTACAATAGTCAAACAAGATAGGAACAATGATCCACCATCACTCCTTCTATACCTTAGTCATTCGTTATCGACAATGTATGCACCTATTTAAGTATGACTGCGTGATGTTCATCATCTTCTCGTTTTCTTCTAGTTCTAGTATCAAACAAAATGAAATTCCTATAGAGTTAGCTGGATATTTTTCTTATCACATTCTTATTATGTAAAACCGAGAAGAAATTAAAAAAAAAATTGATTTTTTCGGATGGTGGCGAACAAACGAAAAACAATATATGATTTACATTTGATGGCTCGTGATATACTAAATCCTCTAGTTTCAACTGTATCATCGGAGACTGCGTTTAGTGCACGAGTCGTAGTCATGTTACACGAAAGAAGTATGTTGAAAGATCTATTTCAGGTTCTAATGTACTTGCAAGAAATGACAAGATGCGAACTATCGAATAAAAACAAGGTGGCTAGTGCAGTTGTTCAAAATTTCCGACAATTATAATTTTCACAAATTTATATTATCGTACATTACCATCTCATTAGTTGTTTTAAAGTTGTTGTACACAAAAATTCATCGTGTTCAATTTTAACTCTGTTTGCTCATCATGTAGTTGTCAAACATTGCGTCTGGTTTTTTATTTGCTCCACGTCCGTTTGCCTTTTGGGAATCGGGCTTTGTATCCTTGTGCTGTCACATTGTCTTTTACTTGATTCAGATATGCACTTCTGTTGAAACTGATGACAATTCAGCATACTCTTTCTTTGGGGAAAATCCAAATAAACCATCTGCAAACTCTGATAAGATTCGACATTCTCCAACCAAAACCATTATCTTCTGCATTATAACTTAATTTATATCACCAGAACAAGGGTCCGTTTGATTCAAAGATTAAATTTGGATGGAAAGAAAACGAATCATAAGAAATTGAATTGTCTAGAACTTATTTTATTGGGAATTGTCAGTTAATCGTGTTTGATTGATATAATTTTTCACCTGAAAAATGTTGAAATTTTATATCTTTTGGTGTTCGTTTAACTTTATTTTACATGGAAATTATCAATTAAAGAGATAATTTTTTTTTTTTTTCAATTAGGGATATAATTTGTTTCTAATGTCAAAAAAAAAAAAAAAGATGGAAAGGTGGAAAATCAATTCTTGGAAAAAAATGCCATCAAACATGATAAAAGTAGGAATTCCATGGAAAAAACGGCCCTAATATGAATAAACAAATTCGTTTTAAATAACTTTTTCAGTGACACAGGATTGCAAGGAAATATCTTAAACTTGCAATAGTTGGAATTCAGATAAACCAAGCGATAAATTTCAGGTGTCGAAGAAATTCTGCACTGAGAACGAGGGTGATGGAATCGGAAGAGCCACTTTTGCTGCCAGAAAACGAGGAAAAAACAAAAGAATTTGTATCAAAATGGGGGACTTTTGGTGAAGAACTAAACAGGGTAAATTTCATTGCATTGCCAATGATAGTTGTGACAGTATCGCAGTATTTGTTGCGAGTTTCACCGATGTTTATGCTGGGGCATCTTGGTGAACTATCTCTATCCAGTGCATCGATAGCCACCTCCTTTGCAAATGTGACTGGATTCAGTGTACTGGTAATATCTTCTTTCTGTTCGACTTTGTTAAGAGAAATAGTCTAAACCTTTATTTATATCTTTAGTATTGTTCTCGTCTTTAATTGACATGGGATTTCACCCTTTTACATAACTCGTAAGACTGTGGCTTGTTTGAGAACGCCAATCTAGGAATCCACTTTCTCGTTTACGCTTTTTGCCTTTTGTTTTCTTCATGGGGAAAAGCCTGTNTCTTCTTGGGGAAAAGACTGTCCTTCAAGTCACAAGTTGCTTTCTACCACATCGTTTCAAATGAAGTTTTACCATAGCATTATGCGGAAAGCCGTATTCGATGAAAGTCACTTGGACAGAAATGAAGTATTGGGTCGAACTCTTCTTTGGTGTCAAGGATAGTCCAAAGTCTCAATGATATCATAGATTTTATATATGTAGAAATCTAGCAATGAACAAAATAGATTGACGAAAAAGAATTCATGTAGTCGACCCCAAGTTTATAGACTTAGTTTGTAGTTATTGTATTAAGTTTTTCAATGTGTAAATATCTATTTCACGGTAAACGCTCATGTTGATAGTAGGATAGATCCATTTAGGATAGGAAGAACCAAGCAACTTGTAGGAATTTCGGTTTGGTAAGCTGACACCAAATATATGTTCTAACTATATGTTTGGATCGCCTTTGATTAAGCATTATTTTAAATGTGAATTGAAGAACGTCACGATTTTTTTAGTTTATAGATATGCTGTTCGATATTATGCTTTTCGATATTATAAGTTAAATGGTCATGCATTCATCTAAATCTGCTCTTCTAATCGAATTTTGAATCTGCTAAGCAGTTTGGAATGTCTAGCGCATTGGAAACTCTCTGTGGACAGGCATATGGAGCACAGCAATATCAAAGAGTCGGAACTTTTACATACAGTGCTATTTTATGTCTCTTTGTGGCGTGTTTACCTGTATCCCTTTTGTGGATCTACACAGATAAGCTGTTAATAGTGATAGGCCAAGACCCTTTAATCTCATTAGAAGCTGGGAAATTTGCAATTCGGCTTATTCCTACACTATTTCCTTATGCCATTCTTCAGTCTCTGGTTCGTTACTTGCAGACTCAAAGTTTGATCCTTCCGATGCTTTTGAGTTCACTTGCATCTCTACTCTTCCATTTGCCCCTTTGTTGGGCTTTTATTTTCAAGTTAAATCTAGGAAATTCTGGAGCAGCACTTTCCATTGGTATATCGTATTGGTTTAATGTAATTTTGCTAGTGCTTTACGTGAAATATTCTCCGACCTGTGAGAAAACACGTGCTTCATTCTCGAGGGATGTCTTCCGAACTATGGGGGAGTTCTTTCATTTTGCTATACCCTCTGCTGTGATGGTTTGGTAAGACATTTTCTCTTGTTTTCTAGGATTCTACACTCATTTTTTTATTCCCGAGATGTAACATTGTCATTCATTGCTAATGTTTACAGCCTCGAGTGGTGGTCGTTTGAGCTAGTCATATTGCTTTCAGGAGTGTTGCCAAATCCACAGCTAGAAACTTCGGTTCTATCTGTCTGGTATGCTTATATTATAGGTCTTCTATTTGATTATACAGTTAAATACATCGGTTGGCACTAGACGTCTATAGAAATTTCACATTGGTTGCTAAACTTTGGGTGCAGCTTTACGACTACTTCGTTGCACTATCACATACCATATTCTTTTGGGGCTGCTGCAAGGTCTGCTCTTGATCCATATACTAAGGGCCCGTTTGGCAAGACTTTTGCTTCTTGTAGACGAGCTTCCTTGGGGATGCTAAAAACTCTTCTAGCTAGATAAAGTACTTACAGAATCTTAGTTTTTGAATTTTCAAAAGTTTTGTCAAACGGGCCCTAATATGTATTCCCAAGTGAAGAAATATGTATAGTCTCTTTGAGCTTTTACTATTGGAGTAATATTGATCACGTCTTATCACTGATACAAAAATCATGACCATCTACGCAGCACTTTGGTTTCTAATGAATTGGGAGCCGGAAAACCACGTGCTGCGAAAATTGCTCTCTATGCTGTGCTGGTTCTCTCCGTTGCGGAAATTGTTATAGCAAGTGCTGCTATTTTCATTTCGCGTCATGTATTGGGATATGCATTTAGCGATGAAAAGGAAGTTGTATTTTACGTCAAAGAAATGGTTCCTTTCCTTTGCATGTCGATCATCGTTGATAGCTGGCAAGCAGTACTTTCTGGTGATATAGCCATCATAAAACTTTGTTACTTTCAAATCTTTTGATTCGATTGTTTCATCACATCAAGATATTTTCTTGGTTTCTACAGGTGTAGCTAGAGGTAGCGGGTGGCAGCATATTGGTGCCTATGTCAATCTCGGTGCGTATTACCTCGTCGGGATCCCAGTAGCTTTAGTACTGGGATTTGTTTTGCACTTGAAAGGGAAAGGGCTTTGGAGTGGATTGGTAGCCGGAGCAACTGTTCAATCTATCGCGCTTTCTCTTATAACAGGTCTCACGAATTGGGAGGATCAGGTGAGCATTACGAATATTCATTTATCGAAGAAAATTTTTATCAGTTAGTTAAGATTTAAACCAGCTGATGACTTGATTACACTCATCTGTGGATGCTACAGGCAATGAAAGCCAGGAAAAGGGTATTTGCGGATAAAATTCCAGGTCGGAATGAGCTGATCAATTGAACGAGTCGAGAAACAAACTAATTCGAATTTTTGTAGGGAAATTCTACCTCGATTCTGGCATTGATATCGATACAATGAAATAGAAACCGGTGAGATTTTTATGAATAATGTGGAATATTACACTTCCATTCACTTGAGAATTAAATTTTATTTGTCAAGTAACCAATTTTGTTTTCTTAGTATCAACTTTATTTCATTTGTTACTGATTGTGATTGTATGCACTGTCAAAAACAAAAATAGATTGTGTTATTATCTTTGGATGCTCAAAGGGTGAGTAAGTCATTCGTGGTTGAACATTCGGACCTAATGGCAAAAAATACCATTTTTTAAAAATATTTTGTATTATCTTGTGTGCTTGGTGCTTTGCTTTTGTTGACTTAGTGTATCAAAGAGGCGACGAGAACACACCTCTGAAACGTCTTTTCAAAATATATTTGGAAATTTTGTTCTTGATCTAGATCGTGCTCGTTTTCTAATTTAGGGGGTGTTTGATAGATATTATTGAAGAAAAAATGTATCTTAAACGGTGATATAATGAAACATATGTGGTTAAAAAGTAAAGAAATGTTATTGATGTGATAAAAAATATTATTTTATTGAAAAATGTGTGGTTGAAAATGAGTTTGAAAGAATTTGTGTCAAACATGGGCTTAGTTCGTGATTTTCTAAAGCTTACAATCCTAATTAAGTTTTTATATTTCTAATTCTTCATTTCGTATCTCATTTTGGCAATAAAGAGACAAATATTCATTTTAAGAAATTCCTGATTGGATGAGACATACAGGGACATCTCTTTTGGTATCTTATATAAGATTAAGGTTGCTTTTCAGAGTGATATGAAACTCGACAAATCAAAAAATGATACTGTGCGGCCATACAATAATATACTATAAATTCTCGTTGCTGGAGGAAGTGAATCAACAAATGCAAGCAAGGAGCAACACCGAAGAAGGGAGCGAGGGGAGGTTTGAAGTAAAATTCCAAGAAAGGAAACTAAAGGAAGACAGATAAATAATTATGGTTCAATTTTTTTTTTTTTTTTTCTGTCTCTTTTTTAAATAACTATTAAAGAAAAATATTTATTTTCACAAAGGGTGGGTGGGTTGTCCGTGGTGGATTTGTTGCCAAAAGTTGTGAATATTAGTTAAAGTTGTAATATAGAAGCAACTAATTATGACTAGAAACTCACTTAAAATAGTAAAGAAAACATTTCATAATCCACCTCATCATCACCTTCGACACCCACCTTACATTCTTGCATGTCACGTTAATTTGGGCCTTATAGCCAATCAAGGAGAATATGCAACTTCGATCGTAAACTTTTGTGTACTCATATATCATATTCTAATTTAGTTCATGTTGCTAGAAATTTTTTGAGAATAAATTTTATGAAAAATGATTTTTCGGAAAATATTTTGTTAAAACGTATAGAAAAGTTATGGATCCACATACAAAATTATTTTATTGGGTGAGCGTCTGCCTGAAAATGAGTTCCGAAAATAATGAATATTAGAAAATTAGGACAAACAATGTGTGTAAAGAATTTTTGCTTCGATTTTATGTGCATAGGATAGTTGTTCTATGCCAGAATTAGTTATCGATGACGAAAAGCACTATAAGGATTTTCGTCATATTGTTATGTGAACCTTATGAAAAGAACTATTTAGAAACCTGCATATTCGGTTGCTTGTTACGAGCATTTTGTGCTTCAAATTTTGAGCACTGAAAAGAGAAATCAAGCTATCCAACATGCGAGGTCACATGGACAGAGTTAGAAGAAAATAATCGTGGGGGCAAATTTCATAAAATTTTAATTGCGATGACAAAATTTAAAAATTATGAGGAATTTCTTGAAAATTTTTTAAAAATCTAGAACGAAATAACATATTTAAAATTTATTGTCCCCACTGCCCCATGGTAAATCCGCCACTGCGAGTTCACACGAGAAGTTTAACAAAGATTCGACAGCTTACGACTAATTTAGTAACAAAAATGAAAATCTACGATTAACTTGTTACTTGTTAAAGGTCGAGGATCAACTTGAAAAACCAGCATCCTAGTAAAGTGATTAATTCTCAATGACCAAAAAACTTTTTAACTAACCACTAGTTGGCAGTATAGGTTAATCAGCGTCCCACATTTAGTTAGGCGTCATCATATTGATCAACGGATAGTTTTGCTCGATCCTTGTATCTTCTGTAGGCCGAGATGCACTGGATCCAAAATTTCGAGCCTTTATAATTCCCCGGCTTTCTTTCAATTCTCAATCTGAAGAACGCATTTCCAATAGTCTCTTCAAGATTCAGGCGATTTTAATTACTAATTCTGATATTGATTATTTTGTTTGGGAAATTCGTAATTAATCAGTTTATGATTTATGATTTTTTTTGTTTTTAATTTCTAGTGTAATGCATTGTGCTTAATTTGGGAAATTTGTAATTAATTTATTGATTTTCTGAATTTATAGTGAAATGCAGAACGAGATTAATTCTACGTATGATAGTCTCACCACCAGCTCCGCTACCTCCTCCGCCGACAAATCCACCAACGCCGACTCCGGTGCAAATTATCCATTCCTCTCCCATGCATCTTTGAACTATCTGAACTCCATTAATACTTCCTTCTACTCCACACTCTTCCCTCAAAGCTACTCACCGCACTCTCCCTCCGATACTACGTCGTTTGATGACGGTGACTCCGCCGCCACGGAGCGGCGCCTCCGGGATGCGAGTTGCATTTTGGAATACCAGCAGCTCTACAACAGCTACACCGTCTGCCTCGCCAAGCTCCAGGAATTCATGGATGAAGGCGACTCTCTCCGCCGCGAGAACGACGCAATCCGCCTCTCCAATGCTGAGATCGCCCATCGCCTCAGTCTCCTAATCTCCGAACTGAATCCCTCCACCACTATCGCAGCTCCTCAATCTCACTATCAACAAAACCGGCTCGAAAGGAGGAATTCGGAACGAGTTTCACTTCCGAAAAGCATCTCAGTGCGTTCGAGTGGTTATCTCAAAATGAATATCCCGAGTCACAACTCGACTCGCCACGAACTCGTAGGCCAATGCGGTTCTGCATCGGTGAGTGAACTGGGTATCAATTGTTAACATTTTCCAAATTCTTACTGTTTGATGTGCTTTTTGATCATACGTATGTGGGTGCAGCAAAGGGGGCGTGTAGGAGGGGACAAAGGGGAAAAAGAAGCATTGGAATTTGATGTGCACAATCAGGGAACGATTAAAACGGAACTGTGCAGCAAATGGCAAGAAACTGGTACGTGTTCTTACGGGGAGAACTGCCAATTCGCGCATGGAATCAATGAGCTGCGGCCGGTGATGAGGCACCAGCGCTACAAGACTGAGGTCTGCCGCATAGTACTCGCCGGAAACATTTGCCCGTACGGTCACCGGTGCCATTTCCGCCACTCTCTTACTGAACAGGAGCGGCGACACCAGCACTCTTGATCCAAATTTAAGGACTGGTTGGCCCAATTGTTAATTTGAATTTGGAGAAGTTTTGTCGACTATGGCCCCAAAAATTGTATCTCATTAACCATTTGCTTGATCTCGTGACAATTACACCTCTTTCTTAGACTTCGACATTTTCGAAAGGATTGATTAGGTTATTCGTTAAAATTCCGTCAACGCACAATATTCTTGTCATTATTATTTCTCATTCATTTCATAGGTTCTCGTGTATACTGAGTATTTATTATACTTCTAATAAATCTAATTTTAATCGAATAACAAAATTAGATTTGGCAAACATTAGGACATTCAACGATACGTTAAACAACAAGAACATTCAAAACGTTCATGTAAAACATATCAGTATATTTTTATCTCCTATTGAGTTTTACAATGATTGTTAACACGTTAAATTCTTGTTCATTCTCTCTAATGTCAATAGAAATAACTAACAATTCAATTAGCCTCAATTAATTGAAAATGTATTAAACTCCTAAAAATCATTTAAGGTCAAACACGTATCGAAAATAAATAACGAAATATCAAAATATAGGATTCAACTTCATCCTCACATCTATATAGTTAGTCAAGTATCATATTAGCTATAAAAACACAATTGAATTGACACGACATCACTTGGAATTAACGTTTGAAAAGAAGATGAAAAAAAATCTTGAAAGTTTTGAATATCTTCAATAGCTCTTTGACCAATCTCTTTTAATTTTTCTTCCTCTTCAATCCAAGCAATAAATGTATGAAATTGATATATGGATATGTCTTGTAACGAAACTTCTATGAAGTTTGGAAAAAAATAAGGAATTGTTGATCAAAAGCTTGCTCTTAGGCTCCTCTTCTCAATAATTGGATTTTTGTATCCCAAAAGCTTCTCTTGGCTTGAATGTTACTTGTATTGAATCTCCAAAAGTCTCATTTGATTGTTGGATGAAGGTACTTATAAATGGGAAAAATTCATAAATAAGGTGTTTAGTTTACATCGATTCAAAAATCATGTTTATAGTTTGAAAATTCAAAAATCAATTTTTTTTTTAATTCTAATATAATATAATATAATAAATCCACCCCACATGCACCACCCCTACTGCTCCGGAGACTATTCCGACGACCATTTCCAAGCTTGTTGAAGCATTCTCGAAGTTCCAAACCCAGAGATTTGCAGATTTGGGGTCGGGGTAGGGATGTGTGGAGGAGAAGAAGGTGGAATGAATTTTTAATTTTAATTATTTGATTTTAGTTATTTTATTATTAAAAATATAATTACCATTTTAACGTTTTAAAATCAGTCAACATTATTGTCAAAATCAATTATTTGATCAACTAACGGTCAAACTAACAGAAACTATCTATTTGGACTTCAGTTACAAACATTTTAAAAGATTGGTACTGTGAGTGACACAAATGAAAAGTTTGTGCAATGTCTGCTACTAAATGAAAAGTTTAGTACTGCTACTGTAATTATCTCTTAAAATTATCACTGTTCGTGTGGTTTGTATCAACACCGTTAACCTCCCAAATAAAATCCAACTCACGAAATAAAATTTTCCCAATATGCATTCAAATACAAGATTAAATAAGATATCGCCTAATATTATGAAGCAATCTCTAGCTCCATATTACCCGTTACATCCAAAATATTTAAAATTAACCACCAATAAGAACCCTCAAAGATCCATTCATATAAATAAAAACAAGAAAAATACCATATACATACATAAAAAAATTATTGTCCATAGACCATTTAAGTAAATATTTGAGCATGGTTAAAGTTAGCCCTGTGTTTGCCCTTTTTTTTAAAATTCATTTTTTCTCAAAACTTATTTTTAGTCACAGATTCTTCTAATAAAATAATTTTGTACGTAAATTCATAGATTTTCCATACTTTTTAACCATGCATTCTTCAAAAATTATTTTTTCAAAAAAATCTTTATCAAACAGGGCCTTAGAGACAAAATATATCCATTTATTTGTATATCTTCTATATATTAAAAGTGGCTATGTAACGAAATTTCTTGTTTTTAACGGAAAAACTAACGGAATTTGTTGTTTTAACGGACTATGTAACGGAATTTCTTGTTTTAAATAGGCAGCTGCACATTNTTTCCAACGCATTTTGAATTACCTCAATCGGATATCGGAATACAAAGTTATGATAAAAACGCTGAAAGAAGGTGCAGCTGCCTGTTTAAAACAAGAAATTCCGTTACATAGTCCGTTAAAACAACAAATTCCGTTAATTTTCCGTTAAAAACAAGAAATTTCATTACATAACCACTTTTAATATATAGAAGATATCATTAAAGCATGCATAAATTAACATACATATACTTGCATATTTATATAAGTCATTAAAAAAAGTAAAAACCATGCATGCATTCTTGCTTATCTGTTTGAACTCAACTCATAAGAAGGCACCATATTTTTGTAAATCTCATACACCAATCTGTTCTCAAATTCAGTTCTTGAATAATTATTTGGAATCTGTCGAGCTTTAGGGATTCTTTTGGAACCAAAAAGATTAATACCAGAGCCTGTATTTCTTGCCAGCTTAAGCATCATGTTCATATATGCATTCTTCAACTTACACCACAATTTCAATGGCGAGCTGAGCTTCAATCGAAGTCTTCGGTGTATTTTAATCCGCCATGAACGCTTTTCTCTGTTTCCCCCAAACCTAATTGCTTTTCCAGTGGATAATCTGGTGTATGTGTAACCCTTTTTTCTCCTTGTTTTGTTGTTGAAGCTTCCATTTGATGAACTTGGACTCATCTCCATTGATATCGTATGAATCTCTCTCTGCGTGTCATGTGTTGGTGTTTTAGAGAGAGAGAGAGAGAGAGTTTGGAGAATTTGTGTAGAAGTGAAGATTTATACACAATGAAATGCGATATATATTGGGAAAATTGTACTATTTGCTCCCACCGAATTATTTTCGTAGTAAGTTGGTTTTGTAACTTTTAAAAGGAGTAAATAAGTCTTTGACTATTGAAATTATAATTACATAATTAAATCTCATTGAAAATTATTGAAATTCACTTGAAATTGTTTAGTAGCCCTCACATGTACACGTTAAGAGATGAATCGAGTCAGGACTGTGCTCGTCCTACAATCCAATTGAAATTTCAAGAAAGCGCGGTGGGAACTTACGTATTTTCATTTCTTAAAATTTACAAAATATGATTTACTTTTTGAAATACCAAAGATCGACCATGTTCCATGTCCAAGCACAAATCTTTGACATTGGGATTTTTTCCATTCTTATCTAATTTCTAAAACACTTCAATGAGGACTACGTAACAAATTAACAAAGATTAGGACTACTTATATAATTGGGGGTTAATTTTGCAACTACAATAAAAGATCGAGTGCCAAATTATTAAATTTTAAAGATGGAAGAGCAATTTCCAACTTTGGTAATAAAAAAATGAGTTTCTATAAGAATAAAATTAATTTAGATTTGTTGGTTAAATAAAATCTGAGGACTACGTAACAATTTAACAAAGATGAGGACCACCATAAAAATTATGACATAATTTCATAATTTTATATTTTGGTTGACCAAATGAGTCCTAGAATCCTAGTAGTAGATAGAGGACCCCATGACTTAAATAAGGGAAACAAAATTCAGCAAAAAATTTAATGTACGCTGGATAGAGTTGTACCTACTGCATTTATGATTCAAAGCTTTCACATGGTACCTCAACGTTTTTCACAAACAATAAGGGTCCGTTTGATAGATAAATGTAGAAAAAAATTTTAATTTCATGTTAATTGAAAAATAAAAATCCATCAAATCCATATAAATTCGATTTCCATTTACACGTTGCAGTCAAACGGTCAAAATGGAATTCATTTTCCTCGAATGTGACATTTTTTATGAAATTTGTTGCAATCAAACAGAGCCTAAATTCTAGACCAAAGAAGAAATGAGATAAACGAGGAAGAGGGTTTTGTTCATTAAATTATTGTCTTGAATGTCACATTACTAAGCTAGAACTGAAATTGATGTAACGAGAAATAAGTGTACATTATGTGTTTCATGAAACACGTGAAATTAATTGTCAAGTTTTGTATGATTTCTAATTGAATAGTTCAATCGAAATAAAATGTAAGTTAAATTTTAAAATAATTTAATAACCAACTTTTACATGCTACTTTAAGAGACACTCTAATTAAAAGAAGGATCGATATAAAATTTTGAGCAATGAGCGACGTAATTTTGTAGACTTTTCATCGCAAAGATTGGTGATTTAGTATAATTCTGGTTCTTCCATGCATTAGCTAGTCAAAAGTATCAATATGACACTAACACGATCATAAAGACGACTCAACTTCGATCGAGGTTATGGAGCCCCCAATAGGATTTGACCTCAATCGAGGTCGAGGAGCCAAGTAGGTCTAGAACTCAAACTTGGTCGAGGTTGGGCAGCACAAGAAAGGCCTATGCACAAACATTTCTCTTGCTTACACTTACTAATGGATATAACATAAGGGTGACATCTATAATCTCTCTATATTCTTTCGAATAGATAGGACCACGTGTCCCTTCGTATACATCTCTAGCCTTTACATATAAACACGAATTTTTCGTTTTGTGGGCATTGACGTGGCAACATAGCCCTGCCAATTTTGCAGGTGATGAAGCGGTCTAGCACTACTTAGTGCTTACAGCGAACTAGAGAAAGTTAGATTTAACATCACAAAATACAGTGTTCTAAAAAACCTAATACCGCGAACTAGAGAAAGTTAGATTAGCATCACAAAATACAGTGTTCTAAAAAACGTAAGCGAAGTGTGGAGTTCAAGTTTCGGCTTAGATGAAGTATAGGCATTAAAAAGCGTAAAAAAAGTTTTTTTTATGTTAATATTATTTTAAAATTTTTAAATCAATCTAAAAATTATTTAATAATCAAAAGGAAAAAAAATGTTGAAAGTCGTAAAAAAAAGCACTCGCAAGGCGTGAAACAAATAAAAATTAAAATTAAAAAAATAAAAAAGCATGAAGCGAGGCGTTTTGCTCCAGTTTCGAGCTTAGGCAGCGGTTTTTAGAAAACTAACAAAATATGTTAGTATACTTATCATTTGTTATCAATGGTCGGTCACTAGGGTAAAAAAGAAAACAATTAGAGATGGGCATGGTATGAATTTCAATAAAAATTGTGCAGAAATATGTCATAGTAAAAAATGTTTTGCAATTTATGTCACCCATTGAAGCTTGAATATATATATATATATATAT